CTTCCGCCTCCGCTCGAACTCGGCCCGCCGTCGCACCTCCGAGCGCGCGTCCGCGCCCCCCGCCGCGGCATCGCTAGCGCGCCCGTCGGGCTGCCGCGCGGCGCGCGGGGGCGCCGGTGCGCGCCTCGGTGGCGGCGACCTCGCGGGGCACGCTGGCGCCTGTTGGGGGGCTCGGCAATTTTGACCGGGGGTGGGCTGGCGGGGCTGCAATCCGCCGCGGTGCCGTGTGCACGTTGAGGGGTGGAAGAATGCCAAGAGCTGTCTGGTAGGGTTTTTGTATGCACCGCTCCCTCCCGAGGCTCCCTGAGCCACGATCCCTCGCACAAAACAATGTATCCGCGTCCCAAGCTTCTCTGGCGGCACAGACAACAAATGACGCCAAGATGACCCAAGATGCCTCGAAGACATCCCAAGATGGCCCGAAGAGGGCCCAAGATGGCCTCAAGACGGCCCAGGATCCCTGCTGCTGCTCCTCCTCCTCCTCCTCCTCCTCCTCCTCCTCCTCCTGCTCCTCCTCCTCTCCTCCTCCTCCTCCTTCCTCCTCCTCCTCCTCCTCCTCCTCCTCCTCCTCCTCCTCCTCCTCCTCGTCCTCTTCGTCCTCCTCCTCCTCCTCCTCTCCTTCCTCCTCCTCCTCCTCCTCCTCCTCCTCCCTCCTCCTCCTCCTCCTCCTCCTCCTCCTCCTCCTCCTCCTCCTCCTCCGTCCTCTCCCTCCTCCTCCTCCTCTCCTCCTCCTCTACTCCTCCTCCTCATCTCTCTCCTCCTCCTCATCATCATCTCATCATCATCATCATCATCATCATCATCACATCATCATCATCATCATCATCATCATCATCAATCATCATTCATCATCTCATCATCATCATCAGCATCATTCGTCAGCATCAGCATCATCATCATCATCTCATCATCATCATCATCATCATCATCATCATCATCATCATCATCAGATCAGCATCAGCATCAGCATCATCATCAGCATCAGCAATCATCATCATCATCATCATCCATCAATCATCATCATCATCATCATCATATTCATCATCATCAGCATTCATTATCATCGTCATCATCAGCATCATCATGATCAGCAGCATCATCATCAGCATCATCATCATCATCATCATCATCATCATCATCATCATCATCATCATCATCATCATCATCATCATCATCATCATCATCCGTAGCTATTTTGGCTCAAGGGCCAAAATGGTGATTCAGTCACTGCCTCAGCGGGGTAGGCTCCCATCGATCCTACAGCAGCTTCTCATTTGCGGGGGGGCCGCGTCCACTCACTTCGCACTCAGTGCCAGGGAACGCCATGGCGGCTGCGGGAGCGACGCAGGGCAGCATGGAGGCGAATTGGCAGTGCAAGAGCTGTCACACCTTCAACTGGCCCTGCAAGAACGCGTGCCGCACCTGTGCAGCAATTCGTTGGCCGGCTCCCGCTGTTGTAACAGCAAAGCCGGGAACGGCAGCCGGTCCAGCAGCGTTGGCTACGTCAACGTTGAAATCGACAGCGCCGTCACGTCCGCCCATGAACGCCGCCAAGGGCAAGGACGGCTCCAAGAAGATCAAACACAAGTCCATGGACCAGAACTGAATCCAGGACATGCCCCTCACGGAGAAGGCGAGGCTCAGCCGCCTCCAGCAGCTACGGACATCGCTGCAGCAGGCTGGGGCATCCGATGCAGCCCTCGGCTTCATCGATGCGGACGTCACTGCGATCCGCGAGACGATGGTCGACACCCGGACGCTCGACGAGCAGCTCGCAGGCATCACAGGGGCAATCACTCGAACGGAACGCCGTGCACAAGCAGCCCGGGACGCCATGGCGCAAGCCCAGGCCGAGCTCCAGAAGGAAGAGGAACAGCTGGCACGCCACCGCCAGTCTTTGGCCGATGCCCAGGCGAAGATCCTCCGCGAGGCGGGCCTTTTGTCGTCTTTTCCGCCAGTGGCGGGCGCCGTCCCGCCTTGGGTCGCCAGTGCCCTGCAGGACACGGCCAACTGGCTCCGGGGGAACACGGACAAGCAGGTGCAGCCCGGGGAGGTCGCCACGTGTCTCGAGAACCTCACCCAGACTCTATCGCCATCACCGCCATCCCCAACCTCATAGACACAGACGCCGATCGTTGCCTACAGCGCCCAGATCCCGCACCACTGGTGCGAGCGCCGCCGGGGCTCAGACGGATGGCTCTACTCCTGGGAGCAGTTCTACAGCTGGTTCGGGGCGGAGGCGGGGGAGGAGATCTGCGATGCGGCCCTCGACGCGAGGATGACAGACCAGACCAAGAGGACAGCAGAGGAGATCTCCGTGGGGGAAGACTCCGAGGACATGGAGACGGACCTCAAGGAGGAGCACGTGCAGCGGAACCAGGACGTCCTGGCGGAGGTGAGCGACTCGTTCACGCCCGTCACCGGCCGCAGGCCCCTGCGGACCAAAGGGCGCCCCCGAGATCTCACCGCACGCGCCCCCAACGCCACTGCCAACGGGGGGGCGTAGCCGACCAGACACTTCCACACGAGAGACCTCCTCAACCCGCTGGGGTGGAGCACCCCGCACCTGCCCAGCAGGCTCTTCGCAGACTTCACGGGAAGCAGTCCGCTGACTTTGGGCAAAGATGGCTTTGCCTTGCTTCGGCCAACGTCACCACGCTCAGCCCCACTGAATACAGGAAGAATGCGAAGGCTGGCATCGACTCCACCACCCGCATCGACTACCTGGCTGACCTCTTTCACCGCCACAGGCTCGACATCAACTTCGTCCAGGAAGGGCGCCTCCCCCACGATGGCACATCGACGGGCACTCACTACCTCCGCCACGTGGCGGCAGGCGACAAAGATGGGAACTACGGATCACAGATTTGGCTCCGTCATGCCGTTTTTAAGGATGCCACCATGGACTCCAAGGTGATCAGCCCCCGCATCATCCTCACGCGCGTGGCCCTGGGCGACACCTTCTTCTATGCCACCTCGGCCCACGCCCCCACCAACGTCGCCCCAGAGCAGGAGGAGAAGTTCGCATTCTGGAAGCTCCTCAGGGACACCCTCCGGAGCCTCCCACGCCGACGGTGCATCGTCCTCGGAATCGACTCGAATGCTGACGACAAGGACACCGCCCTGGGGTCCAACCAACTGTTCGTGCAGGAGCTCATGGAAGAACTCTCCGGCGACGACGTGGCGCAGCACCATGAAAATCTCACCCCCACCTGGAGGAGCTCCCAAGGCTCGCACAGGCGGCTGGACCGACTCATTACCTTCGGGAAGGTCTGGCACCAGGCTGGCTCCTACAAGGTGCACACTGAGGAGAATATCTCCACGATCGAGAATGCAGACAGACCACTCCATGTTTACCACCAGGCTCATGCTACGCTTCGGCAACGCGCCGGGGCCTGAAAAGCGACCGCCCAAAATGAAGTTCGACCCCTTCCGGTTGGAGGACCCTGGTTGCGTGGCCGCCTTCCGGTGGGCCATCTCTTGCCTGGCCGACGTGGCCCAGGCATCTTGGAGCTCCACCGACGAGCGCCTCGAATTCATGTCGACGGAGCATTATAAGCTGCAACAGTTCTACTTCGCAGCGCCGGCACCCAAGCTACCGCGCAAGCCGCGGCTCTCGCAGGGCACCTGGGCCCTGGCCAAGACGACGCCCAACGTTCGCACGGCCTACTTTCAGGCCACCAGAGCCGCGAAGACAGCCGCCCTGCAGTTCTTCTTCCAGGCATGGCCCAAGCCTGCAGGCAGAGCCAGATCCGACCTCCGAGCCGTGGAATGGCACAGGGCGCATTGCCACTGGGGACCTGTAGCAATGCATGCAAAAGCCCATTCTTGCACCGTGAAGGACAAGGTCAAGGCAGACCGCGAGGCCTGGACTTCGGCTCTGGCCCAGGACGCCGCAGCCGCTGCCGACCACGGCGACGCGTCCACGCTGTACCGCATCGCCAAACAGCTGAGACAGGGCCAGAGGCCCAAAGGCCATTCATCCTTGATCACTGAGAACGGCACGCTGCTCTTCGACACAGAGGACATCGCCGCCGACTGACTTGCGTACTGGGCTGGCTTGTACAGAGGGCAGGTCACGACCGTGGGCCAGCTCAAGTCCGCACCGCAATGCAATGCAGCTTACCTGGTCGGCGAGGCGCCTGCTCCACCTTTCGATTGGCATGGATTCCCTGACACTTCGCCAGACCACGTCGCCGACATCATCGCCCACCTGCCCGGCCGACGCGCCGTCGGGTCGGACGCCCCCCGCCACGACGCGGTTAAAGCAGCGGGCGAGGGCTGCCCTCGGATGCTTTCTCCACTCTTCGAGGCATGCCTGCTGCAGCAGAGGGCCCCAGTGCACTTGAACGGTGGAACGAGCTTCAATATCCACAAGAAAGGCCCGACCCACACCAAGGACAATTATCGCGGAGTGGTCGCCGAGACAGCCTTCGCGAAAACCTACACCGACCTCATCTCCATGCCGCTTCTGCCATCCTACCGGGACGCGCTTGTGCCCGAGTCGCTGGCAGGGCGCGTGGAAGGACGCGGCGCGGCTTCCGCAGGAGCCGCCACCGCTGGTTGGATCTCTCGGCATAACGCCACTCGGCACTGCTGGGCCATCCTTTCCATAGACCTCAGCAAGGCCTTCGACACGGTCTTCACGGAGTTGGCGCAAGCCCAGGCCGAGCTCCAGAAGGAAGAGGAACAGCTGGCACGCCACCGCCAGTCTTTGGCCGATGCCCAGGCGAAGATCCTCCGCGAGGCGGGCCTTTCGTCGTCTTTTCCGCCAGTGGCGGGCGCCGTCCCGCCTTGGGTCGCCAGCGCCCTGCAGGACACGGCCAACTGGCTCCGGGGGAACACGGACAAGCAGGTGCAGCCCAGGGAGGTCGCCACGTGTCTCGAGAACCTCACCCAGACTCTATCGCCATCACCGCCACCCCCAACCTCATAGACACAGACGCCGACCGTTGCCTACAGCGCCCAGATCCCGCACCACTGGTGCGAGCGCCGCCGGGGCCCAGACGGATGGCTCTACTCCTGGGAGCAGTTCCACAGCTGGTTCGGGGCGGAGGCGGGGGAGGAGATCTGGGATGCGGCCCTCGACGCGAGGATGACAGACCAGACCAAGAGGACAGCAGAGGAGATCTCCGTGGGGGAAGACTCCGAGGACATGG